ATCGTTGGAGCCGCTTCCGAGATTCCGAAAATATATATATATATATATATATATATATATATATATTATATATATACAAGAATTGCTCGTAGGTATAGGATTTATATTTTTGTTTTACTAAAAGCTTTTGTTGAGTGCTTCGAAATTAGGAAATATTATTTTCAAACTTCCTGGTTATTATCACAAAATAAATCGTGTTATAGATTTGTTGTTATCTCTTGTTTATGAATTATAGTTTCTTACGTGTTGGTTATGAAGTGTCTAATTATTGTAATAATTGGTACTGTTACAAATCATCAGTGTTATTAGTTTTTTTACATACACGCCATCTAGTGTTCTAGCTTCGTAAACGTAGGGATACGTCTGTGTGTGTAAACGACACTATATTCAATGACAGATGTTATAATCAAAATTTATGTCGAATTGGGTGGATTTTGAGGCAATGATATGACGATTAAATTGAAAGAAAAAGATAAACTGAGAATACTTCTTACTAAAAATACTACATACCACATAATTTAATAGTCTTTCCTGAAATTACTTCAGAAATTTTAAATTTCAATCAATCTTTCTAGATTACCTTTTTTAGTTTTTTAAAGTCGGTTTTTAAAGTTTCATTACTTGTCTAATATACATTATGTAACAAAAACCCTGTGGTTCCCGTTAAGTGTGTTATCAGAATCAGTATCCAAGCGTATTAATTTTTTTTTTCAAAAAAAAAAAGACGCAAATGAAAAAAAATTTTGCAAATTGTATGCGGTTTTATTTCCTCTAACTCACTCCAGTATCGGTAATGCAGGGTCTTTGACAATCCTCTTACTCCTCGGCCAATGCAGAGATAATAAAACCACATACAATTTGCAAATTGATTTTTTTTTCATTAAAATTATTTTTTTAAATGCGTTTTTTTTTTTTGAAAAAATTATTTATACATGCTTGGATACTGATTCTGATAACGCAGTTAGCGGGAACCACAGGGTTTTTGTTACATGTTGTATATGAGTAGATTAAACAATAAGGAGCCAATTAGTACGTCGTCTATTTTTTCACCCTTTGAGATGGAATTCATACTTCAAGTTTAAATGGGACCATGCTTGAGATAGTATTTTCATTAATAACTTAAATTTAAAATTTATAAAACCCCTGAAACAAAAAATCTGATGATCTTCAAACGGTTGAACCGATTTTGATAAAACATGTCTAAGTACCAACGCTAGAAAACCTGCTTTTAATTAAAAAGTCCGCACCCAAATCAGTTCAGACAGACAGAAACAAACTTATAACATCCCTTGGGGTTAAAATAGTTGAAATCGCTTAACATGCGTACAAAAAAGAATTGAATATAGAACCTCCTCCTGTAATAAAGTCGATAAAAATATATTTAGAAAACATTTTAAAATGACTCTCATCTCATCGCTTAATTATTACGTCGTTGTTTAATAGCATTTATTGCTATTGATAAATGAAGGTATAATAGTATAACACTGAATATCCTCGTAATGTATGCACAGCTCATTTCTAAAGTGGGTCATTATTACCGGCTCAACATAATAATATGATTGTTTCCTTGTAAATTTGTATGCTATACGTACAGTTATCTTGGACTTAATTTCGGCACGAACGCACGAGATCGTATCACATGACTAAAGTAATATTTTTTGTTTACTTAATTTTGAACTAAAAATATGTTAACTTTCGGAAATGGCAATATGATATTAATAACATAATTATTGGCAGATCTTAGTAATGCATCCCAGTTGGCGTGTTGTTAGAAATGGTATTTAATCTTAAGTCCGATTTACACTTCGACAAGTTTATAATGGATGGCTATAACTATTGTAAAACTCTAACGCATATAACGCAACCCAAAATGAGGGTGTAGTGGTATATTTCAAAAAATCTTTGAATATAACCTGGCAGGAGTTATCAATATCAGATTGTAATTGTATTCTTCTAAAAATATGTAAGGATACTATATTCATTGTAATTTATAGACCATCTGGATACAAGGGTCTCCACAAGTTTTATTGAATCGCTTAGTAGTACGCTCACATTATAAAACCATAATTATAAGATATATAGATATTGTTATACATAGAAGGACTCCTACTCTCCATATTACTTAAATAGTCTGGCATCTAAAGGTATGTTACCTGCCCACACCTTCCCTACCCATGGCAAAACGTGTCTAGATCACGTCATATTGAAAACAAAACTTTGGTCAACCTGCTACGTTGCGGAGACTTTCATTACTGATCATGATACTCTTATATTTCTATTTAGAGGCTACTTTGAATACGCGTAATTTGCCATCAAACATTAGAGAACGTGTAAATTATGATAATTTAGATAGTTACCTTTACACTTTAGACTTTAAAAGTATTTGTCTATGGTAGATGTTGACTCAGCAGCTACATTCCTATTAGAATCCCTAAGTAATGCTTTAAAAATTAATACTAAAACAATTAAAGTTTCTAATCGCAAAATTATTACAAAAACCCTGGATTACCCCAGGTATTTTGAGATGCTTAAGAAATCGCGACAAAATACACCAAAAATGTAAAAAATATCCGCATGATGACGTAATCGTAAGTACATACAAACGTTACCGTAATTATTGTAATGAACTACTTAAAACACTGAAAAAAGAATATGAAAAATCAGAATTAACTGCAGCAGTTAAAACAAGCAATAAAAACTTTGGAACACAATTAAAACAGTCACAAATACGAATAAACTAAATAATAATGGCGATATTATTAAACAAATCTGACCCTAAAACTTCAGTTAATTATGTTAATTCGTTTTTTGTAAATATAGGTAAATCCATGGCAGAAAAACACCACGTTAATAACAACACTCGTAGAATTTTTCCTACAAACATATATCAACACTCTATGGTACTTATTGACACGGACAAACATGAAATAGAAACAATTATTTTAAATATCAAATCTGATTGTATCGTAGGTAGAGATAACATTTGTACTTTCTTTCTAAAAAGGTATAGAATATGGTAGGTAGGCATGGTACTTATTATTATTATTATTAAGTACAGTAGCGAATTAACTTGCGAACCTGGCGAGTTAAGTAGAAAATCTCATTTGAATGGCAATTAGTGAGTTAAATAGCTAATTAACAATTAAGTTGAACGGGGTAGCTGGCCGGTCTATTTAAGTTAAATTTGAAGTGTTGCCGGGACGGCCGAGAGGGCGTGTCTCCTGCCACCCGCAACTAAACTAAATTATACTTTTTTTTTTAACCAAACTCGCCACGAAGACATTTGAACGCTACTGTCCACTTAACCGTTTACTGTCAACTGCTTTGTAACTAAACTCGCTACTGTACTTGTAGAAATGTAAATCGGCTCTTATTGTTATTATTTATTAACAAAATGATAACTAACTGCACAGCTTAGTGGCAGATGTTAGTACATACATACATACTTAGTTATAATTGTCTGTAGTGTACTAATTTCTTAATATACTCTGTTCCTAGTCATGTTCTACTGTTTATTAATAGTGTCGTCAGTACGATAAATTTTTATTATGAAAGCATGGAGATGCATCTCCGATATTTTTCTTCTTTTTTTATTGGCCTTTTAATGGATATAGGCGTTTGCATTAACAAGACCAATGATCCCGTACTCTATCCCATTCTCTCTTTTACAAGTCCATAGATTCCGTTTCTGCCTAGGAGTATATCTTGATGCTACCTCCATCTTACATACTTATGTCTCCGAACAGCTATGCATATACTATATGACTATATTAATGTCATTTCTATGAATATTATTTTTAATCTTATTATTTCATTTAATTATATCTATTCTATCTTCGTACTCAAACTTTTATATTACTTGAATTAAAGATGCCGTTTTTTTTGATATTTACATGTGGAAATGAAAAAATATTTTATATTGTACATACACTAAATGATAGATCGCAACGCCACTAAATTTCTTCCTTGTAAAAACACATTATAACCTGTCGATCACAATAAAATTGATTTGATTTGATATACTTTTTTTTACCAGTTTGAAGGATGTCTACGCCCTTTGTATTTCATGCTAATATTGAGAGGTGCGCCCTCATCTTCATTTGTAGACTTGATTATTAGCAATGGGTTGCAGATGTTCATGTTTCACTACGTGGTAGAGCCATGCTGCAATTATATTAGTAGTATAGTTGTAGCACGAATGGGTCGGCTCGACCGGGGAAGGACCACGCTCTCACAGAATACCAGCGTGAAATAGTAGCTTAATGCTGCTGTATTTCGTATGGTGAGTGTAGAGAACCGGAGACCCTTTTTACTGGAAATGAGGCATTCCATCTCAGTCCTCACGGGTGACAACGCATCTGCATTTTGATTTCTAATGGAAGATAGATGTAGATGTCTATGGGCCGCAGCAACCACTTACCATCAGGTGGACTGTGTGCTCGTTTGTCACCCTATTCTATAAAAAAAAAGGGCTGCAGTAGCTACTTACCGTCAGGTGTACTATTTTGTGAAATTATACTTATTAAAACAAGCTAGAAGAAGATGACCATCTTGTTTACTTATAATATTTAACAAAAAACTGCTGTTCACTTTGGGAAAGTGGGTGGGTAATCGCAGAGTCATTATTTCTTAATGCTGATGTTACACCCCATCGTCATTTCTAGCAAAGTTTTTCGATGATTTAACGTTACTATTTATTTTATTTCGTCACCAAAGGTTATTTCATCATTCAACAGGATGATCTTCATGCTGTGACGGTTGGACATGTATTTATCTTTTATTAACTTGACCTGTATAAATGAACATTTTAAAAAGTACATTTTAGAATTTGCGTGGAAGTGTCACATCTGAAAAATTTGTAATTTTGCAGGTTTATTAAAAATCGATGACAATACAATAAATTCATGACTATGACCTTAGTATTCTCACAAGGATTTCCACAGCTCATGTTCAGTGCGTGTTGTATAATTTTTTAAACTCTTTTACTAATGGTTTTCTAGAGCGTTCCGAGATCTGCAGAAAGTGATCGAGGAGCTGATGGCTGCGGAGCCGCAGTGGCGCAACAGTTTCTCGGCACTGCGCAATCGAGAACTGCTGCGTAGATGGCGACGGCAGATTAAACGTCTACACAGGTAATTCTTTATAGTATCACTTAAAAACTATACTTTTAGAATATACAGATATGTTTAAATTAATGGAAAACAATTGATTTTACACAAGTACTTAATTGCTTATTGTAACAAATTTGAAAATTGTATAACAATTATACAGCCTATTAAAATCTACTGATCTCTTGAAGAAAGAAACAATATTATAGAATATATTAATTTTGGACTTCGGAAAATTGGGTCTGCCTACTCGAAATTAAAAACATTCGTAATAACTTTTGATCATTTCTTGTGCTAATGATAATATAGCTATTAGATTATTAATTTGCCTGTGTATGTCTAATCGTCCGAATACAATCTGTGTGTTTTCAAGGCAAGAGTGGATGGGCTTTTGTTATGCTAAGGCAGTGCGACTTACCATCTGAGGCTGCATCACTAGGTGGAATTGTAGTCAAGCACTGGCTAAAGTATAGTATATAAGTAAAAAGTGCGGCCTTGCCGCTAGTCTTATAGGAACCGGAACAGTTCAGGGTGACCACTTGTATAAGGTAATAAATGCCGGTTGTGACGAAGCAAGTTATGTATGTTATTATTTATTACCGGTGGTTGCAGATTAACATTTTCATTTGCAATCACGGTGTAAGTAAATAAACATAATAAATATTAGTATTGTATTAACTAAATTAAAAGTCTGTAACTTATATAGGCCAATACCAGATGTATTGGGCCTATCCGGCCGGATACCGGATAACAAACAGCTATCCGGCCGGATACTGTATTTAAAAAAAAACACAAAATGTCAAATTTAGTTAAGTATGTACTTCATTTATGTCACTTAACAAATATAATCAATAATCACAAAATTTTCATTTTAAAACTTGCAAAATTAGTACTCGTACTGCGCTAAGGCACAAAATAAATAATAGTACTATGTAGCTAAAGACAAACTATGGTGAATAAATACTAATTTCTGTGCATTGAAAGGTAACAAGCGGTTTCGCCTGTCTTCATAAACAAGGCCAGCTTCCGAGAAAAGTCTCGCTATACACACTGTCGCAGGGTTCTGAAAGATATATTTTGACAAACTTTGATAAATCTCGGTATTGTGTAGCAATACCAGCCCACCAAATATAAAGGTCACGATCGCGAACAGATTGCACTGACTTTACTTTTCGCTTCTTGTGATGCACCACACGGCAATGTTCGGCAGAATATCCGGCGGCCGGCTATCCGGCGATAAGACTGGCCGGATACGGGATATTCAAACAGCTATTCGTTTCATCTCTAGTTTATACCAATAAGCACAAGCCCATTCCTGTTTCTGAAAGGGTTTTGGAGTTGAGAAGAGTCCGCCGTGCTGTCCGAATGCGTGTTGGTGGACTTCACTTGGACCCGGAACAATTATTTGTAAGCCACATAAATAATTGTTCTGTGCGGGATTCGAATCCGCGGCCCATAGTGCTGCAATTCATTGCTATAACACTGCGCTACGAAGCTGTAACAATATTTTGTGTAAATTGAGAAAATCATTACACATGCTTTAATTTTTTTTAACACACCATTATTAGATTTGCGTATATCTATCTATCTATCTATGTAATGGAATCTTTTAATCTAATTTTCACCAACTTATAGACGGCTGATTGACTTGAAAATTTGCAAATATCAAAGACCGACGACAATACAACGATTTAATAACTTTATCCTAGTATCCTGATCATGATCAATGCGTTTAAGTTTTTTTTTAATGTTACAACTTATATACATACCAGAAGTAGGAACAGGCCTTCCTTGTTTCTGAGAGGGTTTTAGGGCGAGGAAATGTCCGCCGCGCTGTTCGTATGCGTGTTGGCGAATTCCACATGTTTTCGAAATATTTTTTGGTCCTTATTTCTCTGACATGCAGGTATCCTTGCGATATTTTATTTCACCTCCGAGCACGTGGTAAATCGGTACTTAAAATTGCAATTAACAATTTCATTGGTGCCGGCGGTGATCGAACCCGAAGTTTTTTAAACTTATTTTATTTTATCTTTTTATTTTTTTTATTTTATAGGATAGAGTGACAAACGAGCACACAATCCACCTGATGGTAAGTAGTTGTTGCGGCCCATAGACATCTACATCTATCCTCGATTACGAATCAAAATGCAGATGCGTTGTCACCCGTGAGGACTAAGATGGAATGCCTCGTTTCCAGTAAAAAGGATTTCCGGTTCTCTACACTCACCATACGAAACACAGCAAGGTTAAGCTACTATTTGACGCTGGTATTCTGTGAGAGCGTGGTCCTTCCCTGGTCGAGCCGACCCATTGGTGCTACAACTATACTACTAATATAATTGCTGCATGGCTCTACCACGTATCAAAGAAATTGAATGAAATGGGTTGTATTGTAGATCGAAGCAGTGCGCCGAGACGGCACTTCTGGACGGCGAGCTGATGCGTCGCAGCCTGCAGTTCTACGCGTCCGTGTGCGTGCTGCTCACGCAGCAGCTGGAGGCGGCGCGCGACGCGGCGCACGCGGGCCACGCCGCCGGCGGCGCGGGCACTAGCGGCAGCGGTAGCGGGAACGAGAGCAGCGGCGACAGCTCGCCCGCCACCACCACCCGCACGGCCACCACCGGCGCACTGGCCGCCGCTTTCCGGGCCACTCCCGAGTGGTATGTGGAGGACATCGCGGACTTCATGCTCTTCGCGGTGCAGTGAGTATATTTTTAATTGACTTCAAAAAAGCTGATGTTAACGATTCGACTGCATGTTTTTTTTTTTGTAAGGTACGTGAGGGTAATATCGTCACCTTAAACTTTGCCGCCTTATAAAACCAAAACTAGCAGGAGGACAGAAACAAACACAAAGTAATATACTGTAACTAGTATATTAGAAAACAACAGCAACATTGCTCAATAGTAATAATTAGGAACACTTAAAAAAATCAACTTAAAAAAAATTATGACCATTTTTACTGTAGGGTCAACAGGCAAAAATAGCATCGATAAAATAGTTGACCTTATATTCTTTGACTGACTGATGAAGAGCTATCGTGTTACGAAGGCATCTATGCAAACAAGAGTTTTTGAGTTATAAAAATTGACCATATTAACCGGATGCCCATATTACCCTCACGTACGCTATATAAATTTGGAGAAAAATTTCCACCCCTAATGGTAGTAAGATAAGGATACAATTTTTACTATTAAAACGACATTGAGATTGTGATATTCTTTGGTCCATTGTAAGAAACTGGTCAAAGTTAAATAAAATGAGTAAAAACATCTAAATCTACAATTACGCACTTGGTTGACTCTTATACAATATGCAAGAAACAAAAATGTGTTTTTAATTGTTATAAATATTATATAGACATAATATGTTTCAACATTTTGTGAACCCTGGGCTTTTATGATTTACCTTACCTTATAAAAACCGAATAAAATGCGTCGTTATTATATTTTAAATTGAATTCATGAAAATTAAAACTTTCCAGATACGTGCCGCAAGTAGTAGCAGATTACATAGAGGATCCGATAATAACGTGGATTTTGACAGCCATATGCCATTCGCGCCTCATAAAGAATCCGTACCTGATGGCAAAGATTGTTGAGGTGTTATTCGTAATCAACCTATCGATACCCTTGAAGCTCAAGAATGTTTATGAAAAGTAAGTAGTATCTTAGATCTATATATAAAGTACCCTGTTAATATACAGTGGCGAAGCTTCCATAAAAGCCGATAAGCCGGGCTTGCCTTATTAAAACTAAATCAATCAATAATATCAACTAATAAAATAACTCGTAAAATGTTTCAAGCTATTTCAAATTTCCCGCGCACTTCACTGTTCGACACATGTCGATCGATGACATCGTATTGCCTTAGCGATACTGCTGCTGTCATAAAGAATGAGTTTTAATAGAGCGATTAGTTGTCTCCCTCGCTCGCGTTGGCTTTTTACGGGGCTTGTGAGAAGACGATCGCTCTCTTTCTAACCTATGGCAAAATATTATATAATGAAATATAACTACGATTGTATATATAGCAATTTGTATAGAGATTTAAAGCCAGGCTTTAGGGAATAAATTTGTTAAAAGCGGAGGCGCGCGGGCAATACGTTTGCAAGTTCATTTCACGTTTCAATGTTTATTTACTCTGTGTGCTTATCTTAAGCGATTTAATATTACGAGTTAAAAATTTATGCTTTTTTAAAGATTTTTAACGAAAATGGAGGATAATAGTGTTCCTTGTGATGAATTGAAGTGTGTTAAAGTGCTAATCGGAGAGGAAATCTTTAAACTTTGTTAAGATAATACACAAGGTTAAGAGTGTATTTCAGACTTATCAATTATCGCAATTAAAAAACAGTTATTGGTACAATTAAAACATTCACCAACATTTTACGTGGACGTAATTAAATCTTTCCATAAGAAAGCGAGACGATTCCACTTATCTTATCTCTTATCCATTAGAATATAAATAAATTTTTTTTTAAATTTTGTACATAGTTTGTTTATACTTTATTCATGTTTTACTTTTGTTCATGTATTGTATTGGATGTAAATATTTTTTTCTTTCGCTTAAACAAACCCAAACGGCGAAGCTATGCAATTGCTGATATGTAATACAATCTATCTAGCAGTGGTATGCCTTCTGTGTGCTTTGTTAAACACGTCCTTGACAGCACTGAATATGAAACTGAAGCATGGAGACAGATCAAGATTGGTGTATTTTTATAAAACTGCTAAAAACAACAATCTATATTTTTATCAATTTATATCTTGGGCTTGCCCTAGCTTGGGGGCTCTAGCTTCGCCACTGTTATATATAAAAAAAAAAATATATATATATATATAGTGGTTGCAGTGCGACTGCTAATTATGAGGTCCTGGGTTCGAATCCCGGGTCGGGCCAAAAAATTAATTATTGAGTTTTTCCATCAAGAAATTCTCAGTAGTTGCCCCGAAGTCAGGAAGTTGGCGGCGTGTCACCCCCGTGCCTCGGAAAGCACGTAAAGCCGTTGGTCCTGCGCCTGATCTCTCTCCGGTTGTGTCGGTTTACCGTCCCATCGGATTATGAGAGTAAGGGAATAGAGAGTGCACCTGTGCTTACGCATACACTTGGCCACTATAATCCTGTCCTGCGCCGATGGCTAGCCTCCGTTGAGGCAGGCCCCCGTAGCCGAAATTCGGTATGGAGGACATTATTATTATTATTTTATATAAATATAAACAGGGTATATAAATAAATAAAAGAACATCCAGACCCAGAACAATTATTTGTAGGCCATACTTGTTCCGTGCGGGATTCGAACCCGCGGCTTTTAGCGCTGCAGCTCATCGCTAAGCCATTGCGCCGCAGGGCTGTCATATACCATAGCAAGGGCTAACTGGTTTATATTTTATAGAAGAAGGACTATATAGGAGTTTAGGGTGGTGTTTTGTGGTAGTCTTCGGGTGACGCCTTTGTTCAGGGGTGTACTATAGTGATGGATGGTAATTGTATGATTGTTTTTAGGTTTATGGATCATCCAATGTCACAAACCTTACTGCCCAGCGCACTGATGAAATTCTACACGGACATAGAAACGACGGGACAGAGCACGGAGTTCTATGATAAGTTCACCATCCGTTTCCACATCAGCATCATATTGAAGGGAATGTGGGAGAGGCCTATACATAAGCAAGTGAGTTGAATTTTTATTAAAGGGGGATAAACCACTCATTACTTTAAGTGTTTTTAATAAACTGTGTTTGCTGAATATGAAATCTGATAATGGCGGTACAACTGGGCAATTTTACTAATTTTGGAAGGTTCCCAGTTTTCAAGATTAAATTATAAAAAAAGGAACATGTTAATTTGTAGATGTAGACAAAGTTATTCCGTTGGCAACATTTTGCCACGGTAAAAATATAATAAATTATTTCAGTCAGTTTGTCTCTGTAACACAAGCAAATCAAATGCAGACATTAAAACAACAAACAAATAAAAAATGCACTTATACATTGTACTGCGGCATCGAAAAGGCATCCAACTCGGATGTAACGGTAATTATGCTGTGGCAGTGTTGCCACAGAGCTCTGCAACTATGCTATGCAAGGTTATTTTCCAACGAAATAAATAGTTTATAACTTATAGTTATATTTTATTTTGGCCTGATATAGTCACATAAGGAAAGTTACTTTGATTTTTTTTATAGCAGAAGCGTGACAGACGAGCACACAGTCCACCTGATGGTAAGTGGTAGCTGTGGCCCATAGACATCTACATCTACGATTACGATTCACTAGCACTACGTGAGCACTAAGATGGAATGCATCCTTTCCAGTAAAAAGGGTCTCCGGTTCTCTACACTCTCCACACTAAACAGCAGCATTAAGCTTATTTTAAGCTGGTATTCTGTGAGAGTGTGGTCCTTCCACGATCGAACCGACCCATTCGTGCTACAACTATACCACTAATATAGCTAATATAGCTCCAGCATGGCTCTACCATGTAAAATATTGATGCATTTGAATATCTATCACATCCCAAATTACAGTAGACTTGTTAAATTGCCCCATGTTAAATTACATCATCATTTATTGGAACTTGCTTAATTATTTTATGCCTCTCAATTATATTCTCATATAATTTTTATAAAAATTGTTTATTTTGACAAATAAACATATCAGGCAGTACATAAGCTGTTTTATAAGTATTCCCTGTCATAATGTATGATCTACATTTATTACCTTCAGGCAATCGTTAAAGAATCTCGTTCAGGAAGGCAGTTCGTCAAGTTCATCAACATGCTCATGAATGACACTACATTCTTGTTGGACGAATGTCTCACGGTGAGTTATTAAAAATCTTCATTTAGTATAAGAAGTCTTATGTCATTAAATTGTATATATCCAAAATCAAATGGAAGTTTATTTAGTATATTTGTCTTATACTGTTATAACCCAGCACGATAAAGATTAATTTTTTAAAGAATTACTATTAAAATAATTCGCACGGTGAAATTCGGCACACAGACCTAGTCTTAACAACATGTTATCGAACAAAATGGCACATGTTAAATTCTAATTAAATGTAATTAAATTTTGAAAAATAAAGTCTTGAGTTTGTATATAAAATATGAAGAAATTTTTTCCTCAACCTATTATATTGAGAGTATATAACTCGAAGAAAAATATACGCATACATGACTTAATAAAATTTTTAAGTGAATGGATTTTTCAAATACTTTATATTAATCAAAATAAAAAAATTATAATTTAATCGCTGGCAGAAAAAAATAACGTGCGAGTTCTCGTTTTTTTTTTTAATAAAATGAGACATAAAATTTTTCGTTAATATGGAAGACATTTTATTTAATTAAGCAAAAACGTGTCAAACAAGTAACTGTCCACCGTATGTCGTACGCTTACTTAGTGCTGGACAAATGCATGCAGCGTAGAAGAGAGCGCTAAAAGTTTTTTATAGAGGAAGCCCTCGCTTTAACTAAATATGATGACGTTTTGATGTTTCTTGCAGTACCTGAAGCGTATCCACGAGGCGCAGGAAGGCGGCTCCAGCAACGAAGCGCGAGCGCGAGCTCTGGCGCAGGACGAGCGCCAGTGCCGCTCATATCTAACGCTGGCCAGGTAGCTACTGGATATCTTTTGTAACTACAAATATTTACTTCTTTAGCTATGGCCACATTACCTTACTGTCTACCGCCATAATTATAGTATTAAATTACCGCCTAAATTACCTCTTGAAGTAAAGTTTACACTAATTTACTGAGGTATACAATGTACTGCGCGGAAAAAACGACATTTTTCAAGATGGTAGTTGAAGCTGCGGCGGATTCGTACTTAATGTCAGTTTTACTTAATATATATCTAACCAAATTCAATACAATATTAAAAATTGAATTTTATGTTAATATTTTGTAACTTTATAAGTTTATTAACTTTGTAAGTTATTATTTACTATCATGATATTGCACTGAACAAATTTTTTAAAATGTCTTAGGGAAACCGTTGACATGTTGGAATACCTAACTGTGGAAATCAAGGAGCCGTTCCTTCGTGCAGAGTTGGTAGATCGACTCGCATCTATGCTCAATTTCAACCTGCAACAGCTCTGTGGACCTAAATGCAAAAATCTTAAGGTAATGTGAAACACAAGCATATGCACACACGCACGAGCACACAACACACGCACGCATGCATGCGCGCGCACACATACACATAGAGAGAGAGAGAGAGAAAGAGAGACACACAAACAAACAAACAAACACACACACACACACACATATACACGCACACGCACGCACGCACACACAGAGAGATAGAGACAGAGAGAGAGAGAGAGAGTCATCTATTTGTTCTGTAGGTCTTATGAAAACTTAGTTCAATAAGTCTATGAAAAACTAGAATGTTTCTAAAATCGATTGGCGGTGAATATTCAGAAAAAAATGAGCTTGATATTTTTTAAAATATCAAGCTCATTTTTTTCTGAATATTCCTGCTCAAAGATGATTTTAATTTAATATCAGACTTGGTCAAAACAATTTTTGATTTTGACCAAATTCTTTAGTTATAATATATTAAATTACTGAGAAAGCTGTTTAATTATTAATACTTAATTGACTGCTTCCATTGGTCAAAAGGCTTCTTATATAATAGCATCGTAAAAAAGGCAGCTCAATACTGTTGTGTTTCGTATGGGTCAGTGTAGAGAAATGGATACTCTTTTTACAATAAACAAGGCATCCCATTTGACCATGACCCACAGGTCCTTAGAGATGGCTTCGCATCTGCATTTCGATTGTTTACCGAAGTTGGATGTGTGCTTTCTAGGGGCTACTTACCATCAGGTGGAGTGCTTGCTCATTTGTCTGTGTTATTCTATAATGAGAGCAAGTTTTGACTTTCGCCTTATTTAATATGTGTGAATCTTTTAACTTATGCACGCCATTAGGCGCATTTTTGAGAAAAACTGTATATATATAAATCCAACCATGGTTACAAAAAAGTAAAGCCCACACAACATAAAGTGACCATCTAGTAAGAGAAGCAGGAAGTCGATGGATGCAGGTGGCTCGGTACCGTGTTTTTTGGAATTCTTTGGGGAGCGCTATTTTAAGCGGTGGATTCGTGAGGGAGTGTAATGGAAATGGTGACTGTGTCAGGTGCGGCGGCCGGAGAAGTACGGGTGGGAGCCACGGCGGCTCCTGAGCCAGCTGGTGGACATCTACCTGCACCTCGACTCGCCGCAGTTCCACGCCGCGCTCGCCGCTGACGAGGTACGCACTGTTAGCTCGGGGTTTACTGAACATGTACTGCTGAGCCAGCTGGTGGACATCTACCTGCACCTCGACTCGCCGCAGTTCCACGCCGCGCTCGCCGCTGACGAGGTACGCACTGTTAGCTCGGGGTTTAATGAAAAAGTACTGCTGAGCCAGCTGGTGGACATCTACCTGCACCTCGACTCGCCGCAGTTCCACGCCGCGCTCGCCGCTGACGAGGTATGGCCAACCTTGGCTTGCTAACTTTTGTTTATCATATTATATAGTATTTAAAGAACCTTTGAAATTTAGTAAATGGCGAAAAATTAAAAAAATGATATGTTTACAATTCTCTACTCTGTGCGACTGTTTGAACACAGTCTATTATTATGCTTGACATTGGTAGTATGAATGTAAAAAATGAATGTTTATTTTATATTAATTAATGTATGTATTTGTAACACATATTATATGTAAACCCCAACTTTCTGAACTTCTTTTCCACATAAACTTTAACAATGCCAAATCTCCTACTCCTCCGTGCATGCAATTTGCTTAAAAATGGGCACAATAAGTTTTTCTTCTCTAATATGATATGATATATAGGCATATTATATTGTTTAAAAAAGGATATTCTGTTTTATCAAAAAAAAAATTTTTTTTTGGATACATCAGTGTATAATTTTAATCAAATGAGCCTCAAAGATCTCAGAATTTTTAGTTATTTTATTAAATTAGTAAAAAAAAGAACATCATTCAAAGTAAAAATATAAAATCACAGAGACATCTTACAATATGTAAAAACTTTGTCTGACCCTTGAGGTGGTCTTTTAGGAATCGTTATATAATTTTCTTCATGTTATTCTTTACTAAATTCTTAATTAAATTAAAATATTGATTACCTCGCAAAATTAAAGTAAAATTTCATTGAATGAGGAAATTTACATGGCAATATACATGCGACGTGAACGGCCGTCCCGTATACGTTCAAAAATACCGTCGCTGACGACATTGTTGGCAGATTTTAAGCAAATTGTGGCAAAAAATATGTTTTTAAAAAAACTACATTATTATATTCATTAACAATATATTAAAGTCACAATGTTTGTAAAACTTTTTTTTAAACTTTACAGAGATCATTCCGCAAGGAATTATTCGAGGAAGCAGCTGTGAGATTAGCCAAGTCTTGTATCAAGACACCCACCGAAATAGAGCGTTTCAAGGCGCTCGCTGATAACGCATATCAAATCGCTAGTGAGTAATAAATACATTTCATCAATCAACTCCTTGCAATGAAGTTGCAAGGGAATTTTATATGTAGTATTATTACAAGATTGTAAATTAAGTTATAGAATAGGTAATCAGTTTAAGTAAAAGTGTATAATATGGAAATCATACATGCATAATAATAATATATATAATTATAATAGAATAGAATTACCCAAGTTTTGGATTCTCTTTATATTATAAGAGACTTCTAATAAAGATGTAGACAATGAAAAAAGAAAGTGTGTTATGTTCTACTGCTGGGCACAGATTTAGGTATAGTAAGTTATAGCCCCACTTAACAATATCACATCTCATAAAAATCATAAGAAGAGCTGCATAATTAATGAAGTTGCGTTTAATTAAAGTTATATTTTTCTTTTCAGTATCAAATCAACAAAAGAGTGACGAATTCGCTGACGCTCCCGAAGAATTCAGAGATCCGCTTATGGACACATTAATGACAGACCCCGTCGTACTGCCTTCTGGGAAGGTAAATTTTATTTATACTAACTACAGTACAAAAGTATTGTGCACCACTATCCACTTAACCATGCAAAGAAATCGTGATTTATTTTTTTTTAATCTTAAATAAAAAAATGGAATAAATTTTTGAATTATCCTATACCTTTAAACGAGAAATTCTTGTATATAGAAACTCCCTGCACACAAAATTTTATAATAGCCGTTTCCGAGTTTCCGATTAAATATATATATATATATAATCGGAAACTCGGAAACGTCTCCAACGATTTTCATAAAATTTTGTGTGCAGGGAGTTTCGGGGGCAATAAATCGATCTAGCTAGGATTTAATGAAGGTAAATTTTAACAGTTTATTAATGATTACAAATAATTTATAGTCAACCAAATCTAAGAAATACCTTTTGACGTTTCACATTAATCATTCCGCAATAACTTTGCACAAGCGTACTCACACAATTTAAAATAACCTTTTACGTATATCCGAAGAATTATAAAGTTATCTATATTTCATTACAACGTGTATGGTTTTTTTATCACTTATTTAAATTTGAATTTTTCAAACAAAGCAAAATATTAAAAAATAACTAGTATTAACTTTTTTTACTTGACGTCGTTTCAATGACATGTCGCTACGTATGTTACCGTAGTGTTTGGATGATTAAAATTCATTGTTATGCGAATAATCGGAAAAATCTATATTCTAATAATCGAATCATTAATTTTTTTAATGTATTATTTGTTTAATTTAATTTTTATTTTTAAAATTCCTTATATTACATGAATTATGTATAAAACAAGTTTATTTTTTTCACTTTGTCAAAGTAAATTTTTGTAGGAAAAAACTCATATACAAGGCCGTGCTAAAATAACCGCTACATAATTTCAATATCCCGCAATTTCGGTACCAGTTACTCGACTCCACAGAATCAGTAATTCATTTCTGAGGCGATGTATACGCTTTTATATCAAAATACCAGAAAATATACAAAATTTGACGTAAGTACACAAAGTTCAAAAACTTTAATAAACTAGATTTGTATAGAAAGGGTTATTTTAATATTAAGGAATTTATGGATGATAATAACCCTTGGGAAGGGTGATCGCTACCAAGCTATATCTAATTTGTTTTGTGTTGTTAATTGTAACACGCATGATTGCAAGCTCTTTTTTTTTAAATTAGTCCCGTTGGGTTTCTTGCTGGTTCTTCTCAGGACAGAGGTTTTTTTGCGAACCAGTGGTAAATGAAAAAAGTGACTTTCAATAAGTGTTATTCAATCAATATTGAATAAAAAAGTTTCTGTTTCGAGAGCTTATTGTGCGTAATTTTGTAATTTTGTGTTTGTCTTCGTATTTTGTGACTCGGCTTTAACTTTTTGGACTGTTTCTTCTATAATAACTTTTTGTACGTAGTAGAGCCATGCTACATCTATATTATACTGAATAAAAAAATATTGAAGCACGAATGGGTCGGCTCAACCAGGGCAGGACCACGCTCTCACAGAATACCAACGTAAAATAGCAGCCCAATGCTGATGTGTTTCGTATGGTGAGTGTAAAGAACTGGACACCCTTTTTACTGGAATCGAGGCATTCCATCTTAGTCCTCAGGGGTGACAACGCATTTACATTTCGATTCTTAATTGAGGATAAATGTGTATGTCTATGGGCCATACCATATGGGCCATTTCACTCACTCAGCTTCGATTTGCCGACGATATAGTCCTTATGGCAGAATCGCTGTAGGATCTAAGCACTATGCTCAATGACCTCAATTGTGTCTCCCAGCGGATAGGTCTTAAGATGAACATGGACAAAACAAAGATCATATTTAATGTCCAGTAGGTGTGACCTATGCCGGTAGTTGTTGGGAGCACTATGCTCGAAGTTGTTTACGAGTACGTTTACCTGGGACAAATAGTCCGACTAGGTAAGTCCAACTTCGATCGAGAGGTCAATCGACGGATTCAACTCGGCTGGGCAGCGTTCGGGAAATTACGACAGGTATACTCTAACTCTGAAAACTAAATTATACAACCAGTGCCTGTTGCCAGTGATGACTTACGGATCTGAGACGTGGTCCTTCACTGCTGGCCGTATGAGGACGCTCAAGGTCACTCAGCGAGCTACGGAGAGGGCTATGCTCGGAGTTTCTCTGCGTGATAGATTCAGAAATGAGGATATCCGCAGTAAAACCAGAGTGACCGACACAGCCCAACGGATTAGTAAGCTGAAGTGGCAATGGGCCGGCCATATAGCTCGAAGAACTGAACCGGGAAGAAAGGTTCTCGAGTGGCAGCCCCGTACCGGTAGGCGTAGTGTAGGGGGACCTCACCACTAGATGGAGTGACGACCTGGTAAGACATGCAGGAAGTCGATGGATGCAGGTGGCTCAGCACGGTCCGTGCTTTGTGGCGTTACTTGGGGGAGGTCTATGTTCAGCAGTGGACTTTTGAAGGGCTGTAATGATGACGATGGGCCATAACATCCACTTACCATCAGGTGGACCGTGTGCTCGTTTGTCACCCAATGCTACAAAAAAATTCGTTGAAGCAGGTGCCCATGTCACAAATGATGAATGGGCAAAAGTGGTAGAAAAAACAAAAAATGATTATGGATGACTTTGAAAGAGACATTAATTTTAACTGCATTATTGATATTCAAATAATAATTAATATAAACAACGACATACCTACTAGGTGTGCTGAAAGTGATTGAATAAATTCATTTTTAATCTAGTTTCAATCTTAAATTTTTATAACTGTGCCTCTAGAAATAAGCAGTTACAACAAATACGAAGAAACGGATAAATCTTGTGTTATAAATTGTCCGTTTTTAATTTATTCTGGTATTATTCAAACCAAACTGTAAATGATTACCAACTCTAAATAATCGATATCGATTTTTTTTAAAAATCGAATATTGTACCTTCCGATTTTTTGGTTGGCATGCTTGGTGCAATAAGTCTGACAGCTTCAAAATGTATTTCTTAGATTTGGTAGACTATAATTGGTATATTAGGCGGTCACAAAATCGTGATACCATGGTTCGAGCCCAGACCGACCGTCCGACTTTTTTTTTATTTTTTTTTTTCAAGTTCCTTTCTTTTTTTGAGAAAATCTATTTTTTCGTGCCCTTTTTTTTAGTATTTATTAAAAACACGAAAATTTTAATTAAACTAATTGCACTCATGATTTTTTATTCAAATAACCAGTTCAGTTTTTTCTATTATGTCGCTACGATCAAAAAATATTATTCGTATTTCATCAGTATGTAATTTGTATTTAAATATAATTTCCAAAACACACTAATTAAAAAAAAACTGAGCGAAAAATACCGAGCAAAGCTCGGTCAACCGGAAAAGCAATAAATAAAATTCATCAGGCAGGTAGAGACCCTTTTTTTGGTGTCATTTTAAATAATAAATGATTTATGTAGAAAAGTCGCTCGCGTCCGTAGGCTTCGACCACCAAACCTTAGACCCACCCTACACGTGTCCCCCGGGTGGTGCTAAACGAGCGACAAAGCCGAAAAAAAATAGACTAGGCTTCCCGCCGTGTGGTAGCGGCGTAAAAATCTACCACCACCCCTTGTTCGCACCATGAGTCAGGAGATAAAAGAAATGGCCCCGAGTTCCCGGCGCCCCTTTAATGGGGCAGGGGTGCGAAGAATCTCCGGGAGAAAAACCGGCGACGAGGTTCGCCACCCGTCACGTTCTGTCTCCCGGAGGGGCGAAAAGTGGATTGCGGAAGCCCGTCTGGCTACGCTGAATGTATGTGGAGCAATGAATGATAAGATGGATGAAGTATGCGAAATGATGAATGACAGAGGAATAGATGTGTTATGTGTAAATGAGACGAAACGAAAGGGAAAGGATGCCACTGCACATGGCACGTATACCGCGTATTGGTCTGGTGTAGACGAGACCGAACGGGCATGCCAGGGAGTCGGTTTCATCCTTTCAGAAAGAATGGGTCAATGTGTGAAAGAGTATGAATGTGTAAGCCCGAGGCTGCTATGGATACGAATGAAAGTGGGCTTAAAGAAGCTGTTCTTGCTAGGGGGTGTACGCCCCAGACATGTCTAAGCCCACTTACATCCGAGAGCAGTTTTGGGACATGGTAAGGACGGTGTTGACAAAATGTAAGGAAAATGAAACATTATTATGTTAGGAGACTTTAATGGAAGGGTTGGGGTGAAGAGGTCTGGTTATGAAAGGATATTGGGTACGTTTGGTGATGAAAGTATAAATGAGAATGGTGAAGACCTCCTCACCGTATGTGTTGAAAAGAATCTCTTTGTGACGAATACTTTTTTTCGTCATAAGAAGATTCACATGTATACATGGGAAAGAGGTGATTATAGAAGCATGATAGATTTCGTAATTGTGGATGAAAAAATGAGGAGCGCAGTCGTAGATACAAGGGTTTACCGGGGGTCCAACGTAGGGACGGATCATTACTTGGTCTTATGTCGAATTAATGGTCTTTTCAAGCGTTGGCGGCATCGGACATCTGTGTCTACTACTGCGTTACAGCGTATAAGAATAGAGAAGTTACAAGATGAAGATGTGAAAGAGAAGTATAAATGTAGACTGAGAGAAAATATTAGGTGTTTGAATGAATTTTGTATGAATGATTTAGACTTGAATACTGTGTGGGATAATATTAAGAAAGGTTTGGTGAATGCAGCCACCGAAGTATGTGGTGGAAGTAAGAGAACAAATGAAAGAAAAAGGAATACGTTGTGGTGGGATGATGAGGTGCGGGTGGAAGTTGAATCAAAGAAGAAAGCATGGTTAGATTTACTAGCAACTAAAACTGGTAATTCTGGTGGTATGAATGATGAGATTGAAAGAAAAAAGGCAGAATTTAGACGTCTAAATAAGAGAGTAAAAGAAGTAGTTGAAAGGAAAAAGAAAGAACTGATAAGAATGATAGAAGGATATCTGATAATTTCCAGGCTAATATAAAAATGTTCTGTAAACTCGTAAGAACTGCCATGGGAAATA